TTGTTCCCAAAGCATGAGTATGATAGTTTGTGTACAGGGCACTTTTACTGAACATGCTATAGGGAAACTGAAGAGGATAAGGAGCAAACCTAAAACTGTTAGGCATCACCATTCTGAAACTTTCCTCGGACATTCCTCTACCAGGAGTTTCTCACTGTTGACCTCTCTGCTCTCCAGGTTTCAGTCTTTCTCTTCTTGGCCTTCCTCTTACTTCTCTGGAGTTACTATGACACGCTCCAAAATTTCCATCAATATCCTATTTGGCAAATTTGTCCAACTGCTTCCTACCAAGGCCATGCCCAAAGCCCTTCTACTTTTCAAAATAAAAAGCACCCCCCCCCAAATTGTTTCTGATCACAAAAGAGCTATGGAGCCTCTGAAAGGAATGTGGAATTGCATTTCTCTTCTTAAATTAGACTTTTTCCCCAAGACTCCCAGGAAGTAGGAACTTGGAGCCAGGTCTTAAATCACAAACGAAGTTCCAACAGGCCAATAGCTAGGAGGACCCTGTGCCCAAGGGAGCAATGGAAACAAGATCCTGTGGCAAGACAGGAGAGTGAGTGCGGAGAACAGTGAGTGGGGCACCATGAGGGAAAAATCCAGGAAGAGGCTAGGTGACAAGCTCTGAGCTCTAGCATCAAAAGATAAGTCTTCATCCAAAGCATCATGTGGAACCACGAGAGAATTTTAAACAAGGCAAGAACAAAAGCAAATTTGAGCCTCAGGACAAGAACTGAGTAAGGAGATACTGTGTGTCAGCTGTCAGAATGGCGAACTTAGAACAACATTGACAGGTGCAAACAGGTGGCATGGTGGTTATGGCACTCGACTCCCACATGGCCGACCATGGTTTGAGTCCTGAACACAGCGGCTTGAAACTCACACCAAGCACATGTGTATGCATGCCCAAAATGCCAGGAAGAGAACGGAGAAGGGATTGTGGCATGGTCACACACAACCCACCACCCCCACCACCCCGGGTGGGTGGTTTCCCACTCTCCTCTCCCTTTCTCTGTCTCTGGTGAGTACATACACTCTATAGCGAGGAAAAAAAAAAAAAGACATAAAAAATAAAACTGACAAAGGCCTGTGGGAATATAGTCCTAACACATTGCTAGCAGTATAAGTGGAACGATAATTTTAGAGAGAAGTTTGGCAATGTTGGAAAAGAGATAGACAATAGAGGGTTCTAGTGCCGAGAGCTACCTGCCCCAGACTTTCTGACTGGATAAAAATAGCAGGTGCTGGGAAATCTAGAAAGATGGAGAGACAGGAGGCAAAGGCACAGGTGTGAGTTCACAGGAGCCAATTCTCTCCCACCCCAGCCATGGTAGAAGTACTTGTGCCTCTGTACCCTCAACCACCATTACACCTCATCCCTGTAGATGCAGGACTGCATAGGGACTTGCAAGCAGGAGTGGAGGGGAATGCTGACTCCGGGAGCACTCTGGGGATTCGGGCTTAGTCGCCCTGGTAGCCTATGTGAGATGCAGAATATAGGGAGAGAAGACACAAAAGGGTGCTCAGGAGGTAGTAATAGGTTCCCTGGAGACTCAGCGAGCTCAGAGTATCTGTGAACAACCAACATCTAGTCAGAAACTGGAAGTTCAAGAGAGTGGCAAAGTCTTGGGAGTAACTGGTATATGTTAGGTTGTCGGAAAAGTCATGACACACTTTTCTATTTTTCTAAGCAAAAATGGTCATGACTTTCCCAATGACCCAATAGTTAGAATCAAAGCCATACGATCACTCAGGTTTTACTAATAAAGGGCTAAGCAAGGACACCTGAGGAAAGTGAGATTAAAGAATAAACAACCATAGGAGGAGAGTGAGAGGAAATGCCGTAGGCGGTAGGAGAAAGCCAGGAAAACGGGACATTGTGGAAGCAAGGCTGAATGTTAAGTATTGTAAAAAGGCTGAGTATGATGAGGATTAAAATGAGAGATACAGTGAGGTTATAGTGTCTGGTTAAGAGTGAAGAAGAGGGGCTGGCAAGTGGCCTGGTGATTAGAGCACTGGACTCCCACATGGGTAGCCATGGTTCAAGTCCTGGACCTGGCAGCTTGCCTTCTC